TATCTATCTTCCTCAAATCATCTAGGCTTTTGTTAATTTAGTTTGCAGGCTAGCTATCCAGCAAATACAAACATTCTATATGTTGACCTGCAAGCAGCGCAGGAAGTTGGATCACGCAAAAATGCTAGCTGCTTACCAGGAATCGTGCTAAATTTGAAGAAGGCAGTATCATATGTGGATCATCTGGGCTTTGAGTGTAGGTACTTGCTTTCCAGTAAATCCCCTACACACTTCTGGCCTTTCTGTATTCCTAGTGTTGAGTTCTCTACACTTGTAATCTTATCACTTGGGCTTATAATGCGAAACATATTATTAATAGCACAAAGATTTCAGTGGGTGGGCTAATACTTCTTAATATATTTGCTATCATTTATGTATTAAAGGCGTGCCTGGTTATGTCGCATAAATGCATTGCATATTGCTTGGTAGCTGGTGTGGGAACGGCGACAATAATTTTATGACTGCAGCTAAGGTAGTGACAGTTAATTCATGGAAAATTGCAAAAGGCCCCTGCACACGCAAAAAAGTTAATTTTGGCCCTTTGAGTCCATGCAAATACATAACCGCAGTGGGGACTGGGGGGAAATCGAAATATATACCTGTTAAAATTAACTGATTTATTATGATTCACTAACTTATTTCTGCTACGGCATTTTTACTATGTGACAGCGCTGCGGGTGGCAGGCTAGAGTGCACAATGCAAAACATAGCAGATAATTTTATGAACACATATAGCTACAGGTGCAGCAAAGGAATAGAAAGTATGTAAGTAGTTTCATATTTGCTTCCCATCCATTCATGTCTGTATCCAACTACCTCTCTTTTTGCGTCTCGGGTTTTAGCAATTTCATATTTAACAGGCGAGCTCGACACGTTCATTGTGTACAATGAAAGGAAAAAAGTCACTTCATCAGCTAAAAGGAAGCTGAAATCAGAAGACAGATCATTGCACCAGGTTAATATCACGCTACACAATCCAATGGATTCTCATGTTGCTGCATGCAAATTGTGAAATTCTAAACTTTTATCTAACTTGGCGTACCTTCGAAAACCTAAAGGTTTTTAATTGAGGTTACCACTTTGCAACTCTCATGTATTCATATATATGATATGTTATTATTTTCACATTTCTGTGTCAGTCTATATTAAATATTTGCCTGGGTGTCTAAAACTATTTCTCTGACAGACTGAAGATCCACACTTAATTTATACTGATTGTGAAAGTAAAAAATTGACTGCTATCAGTTAGTATCATGTTAGTGTTACTGAATTTTATGTTTAGTAGGCCAGCGCTTAGTAAGGTTTTCAGCATCAGGATACCAGGTAGTATCATTTTTTGGTTTGTAGTATCAGATCGAGATCGTAGTATCACTGGGCCATGAGATTTTTATTTTCCAATATAATTAATAGCATGTAAGATGCTTCTGGCACTGCTATGTTTTTTGACATGGGTTTACAATATACACTTTACTTGTCTACAGACTCCAGAGGGTTCACTCCTTGACATTATGCGCAATGCTCATGATCTCCTTTCTAGCTGCAGCATAGAGGTTCCAGAGGTAACTGTACTTCTGTGATCTGTTTTGTGGTCTTATTTTCACATATAATTAACGTGAAAGGCATACCATGTGGTATTTTCTTGCCTTATTAAGGCAGACGGATTGGCATTAGCTTTGGTTATAGTTACAAAAATTGAGCTGTGGTTGTTAGTGCTAGACTTCTGGTTATGCTTCTGTCCGCCAGTAGTATTTTTGCTGGTATTTTGAAACTTCAATGCCTTCTTCATCTTTAAAGGAATATTATCTAGCGAACCGGTATATTTCGAGTATTATGTATTGACTTAAAACACGTCCAATCATATCATTAGCATGTGCTAAGCCATGTTAATCTTATTCAACTGGAATAATATTGCATTCAGAAGAACAGTCCGAGATGCATTTACATATGGTCATCTGATTTACTACTTCTGCAAGATAGACCAGTGAAGGGGAAAATTAGCCATATGGTTAAAAAAACGGAATTCTCGGACCATTTCCTGATCACAATGAAATGTTACTTATATGATTAGTTAATAGACAACAATGCAAGTTACTAGTAAAATTTCCAGAGCATCTATTCTCTGGAAATCAAAAGGACACGGTGATTTTCTACGGTATACATTTTCCTGTACGCTATTTCGTACGTGTTGTTCTGAGTTTCTCTGCTTCCAGGGGAAAATAGAATATTCTAGACCTCATGAGGTGTCTTGTTGAAACTTAAATACATGAAAATATTACAGAGGGGGTATTTGTTATCTAATTTACTACTCCCTCTGTAACTTAATATAAGATGTTTTTTGACATTGTAGTGTCAAAAAAACGTCTTATATTAGGTTATGGAGGGAGTATCTACTATCAGATCTCATAATCTTTTGAATTATTCTTCAGTTTTCTGGTTAAAGATAATAGTGAGTGCATACGTTTGGTACCAGCTTTTATCATGTCTTGAAGTATTTTTTTTCTCTTATCAATTCAGGTCAAAGACAATAATGAGTACTTGCATTCCGGACTGCCATTCATCATATTTCTTCATCCTGCTTTAGGACCATTTTGGGATATCATAAAGCAAAAGGTATGTTACTTCTAAATTAAATGGGTAAAACATGATAGCCATGGCCTTTTCATCTCTTCACATGATATATATTTGAGCTTCCACTGGCGAAGCACAGTTGAAAATTCTAAAGGTTTCAGTGCTTACAGTCTAAACTCTGCTCTATATACATCATTTTTCTAGTTATGGGGTTTAGTTACTTTTCGCGTCCATGGTTACTTCAATTTCCAGTTTTCCACACATGCAGTTCATAGGTGGCTCCATCTCTAAAGGTTCAGAATTGCAAATAGAGGTGGCAGAATTTCTATGGCAAGATGTTGAGGTAACCATCAAAACAGATGATTAGCATGTATTTCCCCCATCATATGCCAAACTGAATTTATTGATTGAAATTATAGCTGGATGGGAGCCTTATTATTCTAGCTGATAATATTATGGGTTCAACAAAGAGGAACACTGATGGTGAACAAATACTACACTATGGAGCCAGGTATTGTCTATTCTAAGCACATGTTTTCTGAAGCACGCATCTACGTATCATATATGGATGAAACTCTGAATTCCATGTTTATTGAAAGGTGTGGGAGATGCAAGCTGCAAAATGTTAAAATTGTGAACGAAGGGATCAGCTGGGATTCTCCCATTAATGTTTATTGGAAGCATCATGTTGAAAGATCAGAATCTTTAAAGATTATTCTTCATGGAAATGCAGAATTTGAGGCGAAAGACATTCTCTTGAAGGTGCGATAATTAAGAAGTGTGTGAATTTCATTTCCCTCCTTTTCCTTCTCATAATCTGATTTCCTTGTTCTACCAGGGTAACCATATGTTTGAAGTGCCAGATGGTCATAGAATGTGCATCATTCAGGACGAAGCAGGTTTGTTGGTTCATGTACCCTACTTTCTGGTTCAGAAAAGATTGTGTGCAAGCACATCCTCTCGTTTTCCCCCTTAGGTTCATAACACAACAAAATAGTACCTAAATTTATTGCTTATATCATTATCTTCTATTCCCGTTGCATTCAAATACCTCCGTGTTGAACTGCAAAAACGTCTTATATTTAGTCACAGAGGTACTGTAGTAGCTTATATCATGCATCTGACATTTCTCAATGTATTATCTTTGTCCATCAGGTTTTGTTGTTAAGTTAGATCCTATAAGCAAAGAAATGATGGACAGCGGAACGTGGTACTGGGAGTATACGGTAGATGGTGCCCATGTGAAGTTGAATATGGTAGACCTGTAAGGAGATAGTACCAACTGTAGATTCTTGATTCATTGATTCCGGCTAGGTGAATTATGCGAAGAGCACGCTTGACGAATAGTTTGGGTAGATGAAATCCAGCTTGTAGTTGCTGTTGTATAAGGTAAAAGAAGGGCCGTATAGACTGTTGTACAGTGGACTGCATATCAAAGCCTGCTCTTCAGCCCATTGTTCTCACATTTTAGGAGTGATGATGTACATACGAATATACTCAGTATTTCTGAATGTCAAGGAGAATACTCGTTCTCCCCAAGTCAAAAGACTCTGTTTATTTCCACTTGCACTCTGTAATCTCCTCACTTTCAATGAGTGATGCGCATACAAAAGACGTTTCTCAATGTTGAGAAGAATATTCATTCTCCCCAAGTTCTCAAAGAACTCTGCTTATTCCTACAATGGAGAAGAAATCATCTTTTTTCGTGTCAAAACTGACATCATTATTTTGCATAGCCAAAGAGCCCAAGCCCAATGTATGGTCGCCGTCTGCACCCGGGTATGTGAAGTAGGTTTTTACTGATATCGTGCAACCAATTGACAAAAAATTAACAGACATTATGAGGTGGATATATATTTGAAGCCATGAAAATGGACCAGATAGCTCAAGGATTTGACACAAAATAAGAGATGTTTGATTGCCTCATCTAGACCAACAGAAGAAGAGCCCTGCGCATTTCAATTAAGAGGCACAACAGTGCTCCAACCACTCGGCTAGATGCCCTTCCACAGGCACAAGTCTTATTACTATCTTGCCAGTTGCGACGTGCAAGGTTGTCCCTTGTAAAGATGACCCCTTGGTATAAAAACCAGAGAAAGTCACAATATTTAGAGTGATCTTGAGCTTCCATAATTTTATTCCTACTTATAGGAACATCACAGTGACAAGAGGTAAAGAGCCGAACATAACAGAGTTAAGGAAGAACTTCTAATTCTGGTGTAAGCTCCACCTAAATTGATCCGGTTCTTGTATGCAATCCAGCCGACCAACAAAGCGTGCCAAGCAGCTAGGCGTGGACCCATTAAAAGTCTACGGAGAGGGAGAAGAGAAGGACCTGTTAATCAAGGGATGAAAAGTGCACATGTGAAGTTTGCACTGTGAGTGTAGTGTATAGAGTAGATGTTGCCCATGTGGAATTGAATAAGCCAGACCTATAAAGAAATACTTGATTCATTGGTTCCGGCCGCCCATGTGAAATCGAATATTGCAGACCTGCAAGGAGATGGTACCAACCGTATATTATTGACTAATTGATTCTGGCTAGGTAAATTATATCGTGAGCACGCTTGGCTAATTGTTTTCGTTGGATGAAATCCAGATTACAGTTGCTGTTGTAAAAAGATAGAAGGGCTGCATATCAAGGCCTGCTATTCAGCCTATTCTCCTCAGATTCTGTGAATGATGTAGTACATACTAAGATATTTCTCAATGTTGAGGAGAGTACTCGATTCTCCCCCAAGTTCTCAAAGAACTCTGTTTATTTCTACTCGCACTCTGTAATCTCGATCTTACAGAAATACAGAACAAATTAATATCCTAGAAGACGCGCAGAAATGATGGAACGAAAAAACACCCATCTAAATCCACATACACACACCTGTTTTGACACGAAATGAACAAGAATCGCAATGCATATCCGGGGGATCAAATCGGTCGAGAAACCCTGCGGGTAGGCGACCTCTCCTGCAGGCTGTCGACCCGGCAGTACCGCAGCTGCAGCGACACCTGCCGCTCCATCTGGATGTGCTTGTAGAAGTTGGCGATGAACTGCTCCGCGCGCCGGTCGATGTCGTCGTCCCCGGCCGGCGACGACCCCCCGCTCGACGACGACGTCGCGCCCGACGACGCGGACCGCGAGTACTCCGACGCCGCCACCGCGCTGCTCGTCCGCGACACGCCGCCCGACCCGAGGCTCACCGTCCTGGACGGCCCGGTGGTGGACGCGGGGGAGCCGTCGTCGTCGTCCTCCGCGTCGAGCAGGCCCGGCCGCCTGGACCCGAAGCTGAGGCGGAGCGGCGCCGTCGCGCCGGGCGCGCTCCGGCGGCCGGCGATGGAGTTGATGATCCACCGCGTGGCGCTGAAGGAGAGCAGGAACCGCACCTTCTTCACCGCCGTCCGGAGCGTCCCCAGGAGCGACGCCGGCCGCGACGCCTTCTCGGACTCCATCGGATCGGTCGAGGACGGCGACGGCGACTTCTCTTTTTCCTTGGTGGCGAGGTTTTGGAGTCGTCGCAAGTGGCTAGCAAACAACGGGAGACAGATGATGAGACGGGATTAAAAGTGAGAGGGCGAGAGGTTCCTGTGGGCTGTATATATAGCTGGCGGACGTGGAAATGTCGCCCACGTACGTTGCTCAGTGCGGCAAGCTACTCGGAATTAAGATATTTCGAGGAATGCACGCACATACAGATACAGAGCATTTTTTTTTTGCGAAATACATACAGAGCATACCGTCTCTACATGCATACACGTGGATCGGTAGATGCATGCACTCCGGCCTTAATTAACGCTTATACTCCCTACAAGGTCGTATGACCGAGCAACATGTACGATTTTTTATTTTGTTTTTATTTTTGCATGGAGAGCAACATGTACTCCTACTACATGGCAATCATTGCTGACATCAAGAAGGAACGGCGGCAGTATTTTACGTGCACTACTGGTATTCTGGGCCTCTGGCGACGGGGTCCTGGTCCAAACGCGCTCGTGGGGCCCGTGAGCCAGTTGGCGCCTTGCTGTCGTGTCGCCCCCCGGCCATGCCGCCATGTTACAACGCAAGGTGGAATGGACCTCGCACGACGGGCGACAGAGGAGGCGTGCGCTGGAGGAGGAGGGGATCGGGTCAGGTCAAACATTGCCGCTCCGCTTCCGCGCCACCGCGCCACCTTGCCCGGCCCGTTGTCTCGACAGAAGATGCTTCGGCGGCAAGGCTGCGGAGCCGTGGTGTGGCGACGACGCGGTGGCTCGTGCGAGCCCGGAGTGACGACGACGGCCACTAGTCCACGTCAGTACAAAGGACAAACGCGTTTGGTTGATCTGTCGCTTATCGCGCCTCGTGTAAACCGGCTCCGACCTGTTTGCGCAAATAAGACGCCGTTAGCTGCAGCCGTACTATTTTAGCGCAAGCATATACTTTTTTTTGAACATCAGGACAAACACAAGCCCTCATATACACGCACATACACTCATCCCTATGAACGCACACACGCATATCCTACCCCTATGAGCATCTTCAAAAGACTGAGCCGGCATATCATCTTGAACTTTACGAAATCACCGTAGGCATCTCTTCCTCGACGGGAACGTCTCCTCCCACTGAATACGCATCGCCGAAAATCCTGAAATAAATCCAGAAATAAATGCAAGTGGGGAAAGTGCGTCAATTCAATTGTCCAACTATAAGCGCGAGACAGATTGATCGAGTTTTCCATATTTATTTTCAGTCAACATGCAGCGGAGCACAGCACCCAGTTCCATTGCTCGAATGAAATCTATACTCATAGGATATATAGAGATAAACACACTACTAGTCACACGACTTATGTGAGACATACATTTTAATCGCACAATGCTCAGATCGTTTTAAGGTGCTCAAATAACTAGAGTTTATATTTACGGATTTGCTCATTCTCATGTGACTAGAATTAGTTAAATCTCAGTATTTTTCTTAGAGAAAAGTATACTTTTCGTCCCTTAATTTTTGGTGAAGTCTAAATTTGGTCCCTCAACTCCGAAAGCGGACAACTTGCACCCCCAACTAACGAAACCGGACAAGGTTTGTCCCTGGTCTCGATTTTGACCGGTTTTGATGCTGACTGACCCCGGTTTTGACCGGTGCCGACTAAAATTCGCGTAATTTTTTCATATCCGTGAACTTTTTAAAATTCACATACTCTTTTCAAATCCACATAGTTTTTCAAGGTCGTGCAATTTTTTCAAAAATAAACATACCTTTTTCAAATCTGTGAACTATTTTGAAATTTGTGTACTTTTCCAAATCCATGATTTTTTTAATTTGCGTAATTTTCTCAAATCAGTGTATTTTTTCAACTTCATGTAATTTTATCGAATCCAAGTATTTTTTTTCAAATACATCTGTTTTTAAAATTCGCGTACTTGTTTCAAATCCGCATACTTTTTAAAGTTCGTGTATTTTTTCAAATCCGTGTTCCTTTCCAATCCATGAACTTTGTTTGAAATTCACATACTTGTTTCAAGTTGACATAAATTTTCAAATCCACACATTTTTTTCTAATTCGCGAAGATATTCAAATCCGCATACGTTTTCAATTTCACATAAAATTTTCAAACCCAAAAAAATATACGTGAATAGGAATAAGTATGTCAATTTTTAAAAATTACATGAATTTAAAAAAAACCACAGGAACTTTAAAGAAGTACGTGGATTTAAAAAAAAGTACGTGAACTTGGAAAAAGTACGCAGATTTGGAAAAGTACACAAATTTTTAAAAAGTTCACGTATTTGAAAAAAATATCCGAATTTGAAAACATTAAACGGACTTGGAAAAGATATGCGAATTTGAGTCGGCACGGTCAAAACCAGGTTGGGACAGCACCAAAACCGGTTAAAACCGTGACCAGGGATGAATCTTGGCCGGTTTCAGTAGTTAAGGGCGTAAATTGTCCGGTTTTGAAGTTGAGGGACCAAATCTAGACTTCGCCAAGAATTAAGGGATGAAAAATATACTTTTCTCTTTTTTTTACAGTACCTCAATTAACTACAGCCTGTAGCTCGCGATTATAACGCCACAATTAGCGTTTTTTCATCATTCCGGTTTGCTGACCAGGGACAGATTTTCATGTAAGCTCTTTTTGTCTTGGGCCGTCTGGCCTTTGTCACACAACGATCCATTTCTAATTCTTTTTCGTCAGGATGTGCCAGTTTAGAGCAAAAAGTTGACGAGCGCTCCTTCGGGAGCCTCTCGACGATTACTTGGGGATGAACTGGTGCACTCTCGGCCGCTGCCACATGTCACACTTTGGGCGCTCTTTTCGGATTTTGTTCATTTTTTCACATGCGTTTTCAGCTTTTTATACCACTTTTTACTTCTTTTTTTCGTTTTCACCGATTTTTCTTAGCTTTTGGATGAAAAAAAATTGTGCGAAAAAGCATGTTTTTTTTGTTTCCGCAAGAAGCAAGATTTTGCTTTTGCGAGAGGCATGGGAGTGTCTCTCGGGAACGAAAAAAACAATGTGTTTTCTTTTATTTTTCCTTCCATGAGAGGCACGGTCATGCCTCTCGAAAACAGAAAAAACACGTTTCTTTATTTTTCTTTCGCGAGAGGCACGGCCGTGCCTCTCGGGAACGAAAAAAATGCGTTTCTTTTCCACGGGAGGCACAGCCGTGCCTCTTGAAAAAAAAACGTGTTTCCTTTTTTTCTTTCTTTCGCGAGAGGCACAGTTTTGCTTCCAGAAAGACACGGATTTGCTTTCACGGGAGGCACAGCCGTGCCTCTGGAAACCGAAAAAAACACGTTTTTTTTGTTTCCTTTCGCGAGAGGTATGGTTTAGTTCTCATGGAGGCATGGATTTACTTTTGTGAGAGGCACAGTCATGCCTTCTTTCGAAAAGAAAGAAAATGTGCTCCTGCTTCGGTTTTCTTCGTCTGTTTTTTTGGATAAAAAAGTTCATCAAAACCTATTGACATGAGATCTAATTTTTAAGATCTCGACGTGAGGAGTCCAATGATGAAAACGTTTTGAGATTTGGACACGATTTAAGAGATACAATGTTTTAAATAAACGGATCTACGAAAAAAGAAAATATGTCACTTGTCGCAATCTGGAAAGGTCAAAGTGATCTTTGAAGGAGTACTCTCGGTTCTGCGATCTCGATTTTGTTGTGTCTCGCATTAAGCGAGTTGGAAAGAACCTCTTGCTGAAGAATTCTCGCGTAGCAATTGGGCCGGTCCACTTAATACATGAAATAGTGGGAAAAGGGGTTTCAACCTCAGTGTGCCAGATAGTTTATAGCGACACTAGCCACGAACACTCGGTTGAGTTCAGGATGAACTTTAAAGGCACGACCTACTTAAGGTAAAAGAGCCAAATTTATCCACCGTTTTTTCTGTCTTATTCAGATTCGTTCGGGGTTTTCTCTTCTTTTTTCTTTTTTCTCCGTTTCTTTCATTCTTTTTTGCATTTCTTTCGTCAGTTTTCTTTTTATTTTTTCTTTGGTTTATTTTGTTTATTTTTCCTTTTTCCAATTCTTTGGTTTTCTTTGTCTCTTTTGGTTTTCATTCTACATTTTTTGCATATGTCAACAACATTTTTCTAATGCATGTTCAATATATTTTCAATACAAATTTAACATTTTTCTAAAACATGGTCAACACTTTTCCTATACATATTTTTTATTTTTTAAATGCTTGATTAACATTTTCCAGATACAAGATTTACTTTTGCTAGTCCATGGTCAACATTTTTTCTATGCATGTTAAACATTTTTTAAATCATTGATTAACATCTTCCAAATCCAATATTAACATTTTTTTAAACACATGGTCGGCATTTTTTCTATACACATCAACGTTTCTGAAATGTTTAACATTTTTCAAATACTTGTTCAACATTTTTTCAAATGATTGATTAACATTTTTCATATACCTGATAAAAAAACCATGATTTTTAATACATGGTCAACATTTGTTCTATTCACATTTTAAAAAATTCGAATGCTTGATAAACACTTTTTAGCTACTTGTTCAACATTTTATGAAATGCTTGATTACATCTTTATATACATGATAAAAAATCATCATTTTAAATACATTTCAACCTTTTTTGTACACATTTAACATTTTTCAAATGCTTGATTAACATTTTTCAAATACTTTTTTGAAAAAAAATCAAATGATTGCTTAACCTTTTTAATATATACAAATTTATAAAATTTCACATGCTTGGTCAATATTTGAAAAAAATAGATTTTTTTAAAGTATCTATTTAGAATATTCCAAGTATGAAAAAATTGGAAAAATAAATAAAAAACTAAAATAGAATATGTAAAGAAACAGAAAAAGAGGTTGTGGTGTCCCGCGCTCCTGGGCTGGCCCATCGTGGTCTCCCCTTCAGCGAGCGTTCCCTCATCTCGCTCAAGGTGAGATATAGGGGCGCCCCAGTTTGTTAGCCTTTGAGCTTTTGTGC